GAAACCTTTAATTTACTATCCAAATCTGGAAGAGTGAAGAAGAGAAAGCTGCGTTTTGATCACGGAAGCTGGATATTTTGTTTTTTATGAGAGCAGACGCAGCGGTGGAGATGGATGAAGGTGATCGGAATTGCTGTTGATGGAGGCGTTTGTTTCGTTCCGTCCAGATAGAGTAGATCGCTGCTTTCCATGATCTTTATGTCCAAAGATCTTTGAAGTCTTCTAAATGTCAACCAAGTACATATTCTAAGGAAAAGTTCATGTGAAATTATGAATCAGTTATAGTAAGAAAGCCCTTAGCTGCTACATTCGATGATACTTAACCAGTCAATATGAACCAATGCATTGATTTCACAACAACAAAAACTTCCATTCTGTTCTGTAAAATGATAACCTCAAGGTTTCGTTACCAAAATATAACAAAGAGAAACTGAAGAAAAACATAACAAAGGCAAGCAATCAACAAGAAAAAGAAACACCTCAGAAACATTTCCAAAATCGCATTAACTTCTTTCCGTGTGTGTTTACGGAGCTCTTTCTCAGGTTTCACTATCGGTCCATGACTTGGTCGAAGCAGCCATGAATCAGCATTCAGTTGGAGAACCATGGTAACCCAGACTGAAGGCAGTTTTGTCCCTCCGGTAAGGGAACTATAGGTCCCAAGAAGAGACGCCACAGATCAAGAATGATCGTTACCAACATAGCAGCACCTAAAGCATCAACAGCCACACGTGACAAGTCCCAGTCATTACTTGGTTTCTCTTCCATCCTGCAAAACCCCCACCATCAAATGAAAAGCATATGAAAAAGAGTTTATGCATTCTCAAAATGACAGAAAGATGGATAAGTATGGTAGATGAAACAAAAATCCAGAAATGATAACACTACAGAACAATTTTTGATACGCAACAGTTTTGGCACTATAGGGATACAGTGCTGCTATGAGATAAAAGTCAACAAACTAAGAATATATATTAAAAATAACTATATGTTTGAGGCGTTTCATTACCTGAAGAACATTGGGAAGCTAACAATGAAGTAGATGGCATAGAACAAACACCCAACTTTGTACATGGCGCTTCGGTCCACAAACTCGTAGTAAGGAAACTGCACATGATTAAGAACAAAAAGAAAAATATATATGAATGATTAAGTAGCAAAACATAGCGCCTTTAAGCAGACTACAAGAATATATTATAACTTAGATATAAGCTATCACTTGATCAGGCACAAAGTAAGTTGCTTTTAAGGATAAACTAGCTAAAACACACACAAAGCTAAAGATTTAATCTCCTCTGAGAAAAAAAAAATCATCTGAGCTACCAAAGAAAAGACATACATTTGCAATAGCAACAGTCTCCAGGTAAGCAATGAAATAAGAAAGCGCCAGAATCCATGCAGCCTCAAAAGACCATCTAAGAGAATCTGGTAAGCCAGCAATGGAATGTCGTAGCCTTCGAAGAGTAATGTTGGATGCAACGTGGTAAAAGAGGAAGCAAGCATGTGTCATGAAGAATGTTGTGTGAGGCACCTGTTCAAAAGAAAAACATTCCATGAGTAGCTCATGGAAACAAGAAAAATAAAATACGACACAGCCGAGGTTTAATGCTTACGTTATTCATTTTCCAGGAGGGGAAAGTATAGGAGGCTCCAAGAACTTTGAAGAAATAGTGAGTCCAAAAGTAGTTTCCCACATAGCTGAAAATAATAATCCAGAGATTTGCCTGTGGTAGAAACAATAAGTACCTCAATCAAATACTAGAGCTATGGATGAGACTGAGACAGAGATGAAAACTTGCCTTAACCCAATAACGGTCCTTCCAGCATAAGCTTCTGTCGGCCTGAAAAAATGCATAAACTAAGTTAAAGAAGATGATAGAGGGTTGCTTTTAACAGGATGCAAGAGAAAAATAAAACACCAACAGGTTTAGCTTATAGTTGAAGCACAACAGTTCGCAACAAGTCAAACAGAATAAACAATTCTTCTTTATTACCAAAAGTAACACTGAAGCAAAGGGTGTACCTTTCCAACAAGTAACATGGGTATGAGGAAAGCGGGAAGAGCTGAAACCAAAGCCAGAAGCAGATACTCCAACTCCGTGAATGTCTGTCATTTGATGCAAACACTGGTGTTAAGCATTTCAAGAATATCAATAATGATTCCACTTTCCCAAAACAAGCCAAACTCTATATATAAAAGAAGAAACATTTTGAAAATCATGTTACGGATGTTGACCTCGTAGAGCTTGTAAGGAACAACGATGCCCAAGGAGAGAGTGAGCCAGAAAGGAGTGTAAAAGAGGAAGAAGAGTTCTCCCCATCTCTTGCTCGGATTCGCTGCCAACCACAAGCTCCCTGATCCTATCCAAAATACCATTATATATATAATGTTAACGAGAATCCGTAAAGAAGAGCAGATTCGTTTACCTGACATAATCGCTGGTGGCAAACTTAAAGATAATGGCTTCCGCCGGATCTAGAGGAGAAAACGATGGGTTGACTTAAAAAGAGTTGAGTGTGAGAGAGATGGGGGGTTCCTTCTTTGTACGAAGGACCTACCAGATAAGCGCCCCCTATTAGGATGACGTGGCAGCTGTACTCTCGTGATTTTTTACGAGAACTAGATCCGCCTTCTCTTTAAGATTTGTTTAATCATTTGTCACATCATCTCTATGGACCATGCTCTCATCATATATCCAACTTCTTTTTTTTTATTTTGTTAAATAACCTAAATTTATTTGCTCAAAAAAACTACATTTACCTTCTTTTTAAAACAAGCTAACTTAATGATTACAAGTCTCATATATATGGATAATAATAAACTCAAACAAGATTAATATTTTCCGTTAGTTAAAATTCGTATTTCATAATTTTATTTCTTTTATATAATTTACGTATTTTCTAACTCGTTTCATATTGTTTTTATATATAAAATTATAAATCAAAGAGTTAGTATTTATATAAGAATGGTGTATCATGTTATTTTTCATCATATCTCTTAAATTTCATAAATAAATTGATACTGTCAATGTCTGATGAGTAAAAACAAAACAAATGACATTAGTTTAAGAAGGATTTTGTGAGATAAACCCGTCTTTTTTTCTAGATCACCAAGATAATTAAACAGACGCATAAAAACTCTTCAAATCAAACTGACAATTATGTATCTATATAAATAACGAACAACGGTTTTGCAAATATAGAAGACTTTCGAAATGTGGAAACACTGAGATTTTTGATATCTTCCAAAGAACTTACAAAAGCTGGTCATTTTACAAATGTGATTAAAAAATTGACAGAAATTTATCATACATTCTATTGTCCATATGAGCGTCTCTACTTCCAAGTTAAGTGGCAAAAGACTGGTCCTAGTGTTCCTCGCCCCTATTAATCCGTCAAAATCCTCCAATGTACTATATCAACCTTGTCTCGAGTAACTTTCATGAGTCTTTTATAATCTATCCGTAAAACACCATCGACCCGGTGACAGAAGGTAATGTTGTCCCGTTTATTTCACTATTTTGTGAAACCATTTTTGTAAGAGAATTTTGTGTCTCAGCCCAAAGTAAAGACTATGTTTCTGCCAACTTTAGAATCGACATTCATATTGCTAAAAAAATTATGGTTACGTCTTTTCCAAATATGCAAACTGATGATATTCCATATACAGAGATATTCTCCAATACAGATGATCCATATTTTTAAAAAGTGATTGGACATAAAAAAAATAGCTGGATTCTATGGGATCCGTGAGAATTCCCAAACTTGAACCATAGGTGGATATTCAAAAAACAGATGGTTTATTGATTCCTCAGTTTCTCCACATCTGGCACAACATATATCACCATGTATCCTTCTCGCTCACAGGTGTTTCCTAACCTCTATGTATTCTGACACTAATTGCCATTAGAAGTGTTTAATCTTCAGTAAGCATCACACTTTCCAGCCAAACGCCTTTAGGGGAGTAACCGTAGGTCCATAATCTGATGGTTATTTTTTCTCTGTCAGGATAAACTCGTCCACTTAATATACATATTTTACCGTGTATTTCCCATTGTTCGTGAAGTACCATCCATCTCTATCAATAACTTATGTCATGCTCAATGGTATGCTTTCGATAATCTTTACATCATAGGTATCTACCAAAGATTGAATGACATGTATGTTCCACGTATGAAAAGTTGTGTTGATGATAGAATCCACTGTAAGATCACGGTAAAAGTTGTGTTGATTTCTATTTGTTAGTCATGGGTGAGTGGTTAGGAGTCAAGTATCGTTCATACTAAGATACATGATCATGGTCTCATCTTTTTGATTAGTCATTTGCTAACCAGAGATCTAGCAGAGATAATGATGTGCCAGCCATATGACGATGAGTATGTTCTAATCGGTTTCAGAGGTGTGCATTCTGGAAGTACCATCCTTTGAATAATCGAGAGAATAATGTATTTGGTTTCTCGATCAAGTGCCATAATTGCTTTCGCAGAATAGATGTGTTGAATTTCATGAGATCTTTGAATCCCAACCCTCCTTCATCCTTGTGACTACATAATCTGTCTCATAATTTCTAATGCATGCCTATTGTATTTCCTGGTGAACTCCACCAAAATTGTGTCACTGTGCTTGTCAATTTCTTTATGACAGTCTTTGGCAGGTGAGAACAAGACATCACATGATTTGGTAAAACAATAACTACTGATTTTATAATTATTTCCTTTATCCCTTGATGAAGAACTTAAAAACCCATCAATTCACAAGACTATTTAAACGGTCCTGAAGAAAACCAAAAACTTGTATTTTTTTATTCTCCAAACTCTCTGGTATTCCCAAATATGATCCCATCTGACATATGTTTTGAATCCTAAGATTTCTCGAAGTTTATGCCTAGATGTCTCCTCAATCTTATGTCCAAATCCAAATTGAATATAATTTTTTTGAAAATTTATCATTTGACCTGACGATGTCTCATACTTCTTTAAAATCCTGAGAATGGTTTGATAAAAAAAAAAGAATATCATCTGCGAAGAGCAGGTAAGATATTAAAGGACATGTCCTGGCAACCTTCGTTCATGGTATTTTTCCTCTTGCTCAGTCTTTTTAATATTTGCGATTAATGTCTCTGTGCACATAATGAATAAGTAGGGAGATAAAGAGTCACCCTGGTACAAGCCTCTCTACTGGATTATGTGTCCTTTGATTGACCATTTAATAGTACTCTATACTGTACAAAATATATGCATTCAGTCATTAGTTGGATTTATTGTGAATCAAACCCATCTTTGGAAATAAAGCCTGGATAAAGGCTCATTCCACCATGTCATATATTTTATTCATATATGTTTTTATGGCCATAAACTTAATTTGGCATGACTTAGTAGTATGTAATCCTTAAAACAACTCCTGAGCGAGAAGTATATTTTCCGAAATCAACATCCCAGCCACAAATGTCGATTGTGTATCCGATATAGCCATATATCTGAGGGTAAACAGATCTTCAATATGTTGCATAATACTTTAGAAATGATTTTATAACCTACATTACAAAGGTTTATCGAACGTAACTCTGTCATCTTTATAGGCCTCTCCATTTTGGGGATAAGGCAAATGTTTGTAAAGTTTAACTTTGTATCCATCTTTCCTAAGAGCAAAAAAAATATTGACCTGCGCAAGCAAGTCATTTTTTATAATAGGCCAAGAGCATTGGAAGAAAAGCACTGTCATTCCATTTGAATATGGGGCTTTCTCCGAATGCAGCAGTGCTTGTCGTACATCTTCATCAGTTGCTAACCTGATCAATCTTTGATTCATTTGATGAGTGATGCTTGGTGTGATCTCCTCCAAAAAAACACTCAAATTTTGAGGGTGAGGTAGTTCTAAATAGATCATCAAAATAGTATACTGGCACCCTTTCTACTCCTTTATCCTTATTCAGTGCACATCTGCATCATGTAAACCGACAATCATGTTGTGAGTGTGCCATTGTTGTTAAAGCGTGATAAATTTGGTGTTAAGATCCCAAGCGGTATATCACATATTCCGACTCTTTTATTGCCAGTACTTCTCTTCATCCTTATACGCTTCCTGTAATTTCCTGAAGACATCCAGTGTTTCTTCTTGCGTACTAGTGTTATTTGTTTGAATTTCTTCCAAAACTTTTTGAACTCACTAATTTTTTGTTTTCTACATGGGAGATTATTATTGCACCAACTTGCAATTTCATAAAGGTAATAACTAATTTGTGTAACCAAATCCCCCGGATTGCCTTCACCAGAGTCTACATAACCCCTACCAATAGTGTCCATTAGACCCTCATGCCCAATCTATCATTTATCAAACCGAAATTGTCCCCGTCGTCTAGAAACTTTATCCTTAAAAGAAGGGGTTAACGACTTATTTCCATACCATAACTATTGCATAGTAAAAGATCCACACGATCTTTGAACTTCGTCCCAATTGCACACAATTAAAGTTTGTAAACTTATTCCCTCCATAACAAAAGATTGAGACTCAATTCCCCCCAGATAAACTAATACCAAGACAATCCGGTTTAAATTAGGTTTAATGTTCTTTGTTTTAAAACTAAACCAATTACGAACCTAAGTAAACCTAAATGACCTGATTAGAGATGTAAATCGGATTTACCCATTTAATAATCCAAAATTAAAAACTCTGAACTCCCAATCCAAAAATCTATGTCTCTTCCTCGCGACTTGATGATTGACTGCAAAAGTTTGAAGTGGAGACAGAAGAGTATCATTACTCCTCTCACCCAGGGAATTTTGAAACCTCTATTTATCTATTTCTCTCTCTCTTTCTCTCTGTATTTCTGTCGTTGTTGATTAGGTCTCTGTAATTTTTTTTTTTCTGAAATCAAACATGGAAGATTCATGGACCAATGTTAACGTGGAAGGGAATGAGGTTCCTGAATTTGATATGGGTACTACGAGTTCTCTTGCCTTCGACTCTGATGGTGAAGATCGAAGAGAGCGTAATGACTACAATATTGAAGCTCCAGATTCATTACTCACTGTCCCAGGGTGTGTATAGGAAAGAGAAAGGAATGAGAGGTTTTTGATTTTTCGGTTTAGGGTTCGTATGAAATCGATTTGGGGTTATCTAAAAAACTTCTAGTAGGTGTTTCGGTCGCATATGTAGTTGGATAGGAGGGTTGAGTCTGGTTTTAAAATTGGTTCAGATCTTAGTTTAAGTGTGGTTTACGTTCTAAACCATTAAAACCAACTCAAAGATTCGTCCGGGGGAATCGATTCTCGATCTTTTGTTATGGGAGGAAATATGTTTACAAACTTCAATTGTGTGCAATTGGGAAGAGGTTCAAAGATTGTAGAATCTATTACTATATGATAGTTATGGTATGGAAATAGGTCGTTAATCCAAAAAAAACTATTACAGATCGATGATCAGCCAATCTTAAATACTATGTATAAAAACGTAGAAAAAACGTATATCAATCTTCATTTGCTAATGCTTGGTCTTTTTTTTTTGGCATCGCTAATACTCGGTCTAAACAACACCAAGTCATTTATTTTCCTTTTCTTCCTTCCTTTTCATAAAATTTGATTCCTCCGAACCAAAAATTCCAATAAACTACCATTCCAAATCATGTTAGTGAAACTAGAAAAGACCATACATTACATGAAGGGTCATCTTGGTTTTCATGATTTCCATTAATTTTATTTAAATCTCCAATAATAAATCATGATTCAGGTAATCATACAACTGTCATAGTTCCGTATTTATTCTCTTTAAGTTTTGAACCGGTTCTCCATAAACCAAAGTTTCTTTCCATTTATTGTAAAACACCAGTTCTAAAACAAAGGAGAAACGATTTTGTTTAGTTCAAACTTAACTAAGCATTAAAATATTAATAAGCTCTCAAACGTCCACAGTGAGTTTGGCGTCAAGGTGAGTGAACTCTTGGAAGAAAGCTTTGAAGTGTTCGTATGAATGCTTCACGTCATCTGCAGCACACATCTCACGGATGCTATGCATCGAGAGCTGAGGAGCTCCAACATCAACCGTCCTTATCCCCACACTGCTTGCTAGGATTGGACCTATGGTCGATCCGCAACCCATATCATTACGTACCACAAAATCCTGCATATTTTTCATGTCCATGCTCGTTTTATAATATGTAAGCAAGTTCGAACAATTTATGGAGCTCTCTCTTTCAAGGCAGATCATACCTGAACAGGGAGATTATGTTTCTCTGCTATCTCTCTGAACACAAATGAAGTCACTGCATTAGTTGCGTAGCGTTGATTTGCATTGTGTTTGATGACAAGCCCTCCATGCATCTTTGGCTGATGATTCTCTTCATGTTTGTCCTACAAAAATGAAACAGTAATGCAGTGAAGGAAAGGCATCAACTTACTTATGTGCACGAGAAGGATACAGATGCAGAAGGAAATGATTACCATAAAGTTTGGATGTAAAGCATGAGCCATATCAGCGGACACAAGCAAACTTTTTTGAATCGCTTTCTTGAGCACCTGTAACGATTAAACAGTAGTGAGTGGCGAGCTACACTACACAAAATCTTAATACTAAAATGGTTGCTACCTTAGCGTCAGAGCTGAAGCAACTTGTGATGTGTGACATAGCATCAATCATGACAGGGGATCCAGCTCCTTGCGCTGAGTTGGAACCAACTTCCTCGTGATCAAATAACGCCACCATTCTTACTCCGCTTTCTTCCTCTAGGTCACTTACAGAAGACGTTGCATCTATAAGTGCCTGTGTACAAAGTTCATATATTTATTGCCAACATACGGTCCCTCATTAGATATATATACATTTCAAACAGACAAATCGAGCACCCAAAAGATGTTAGCTGACAACTGTTCATCAATTTATTTAGCAGCATTATTTAAAAATTTAGAAAATAAATTGTTAGAGATGCTCCACTTGGATGTGATCCAGAACCCAACTTGCACTTAGTGTGACTAACATACGTGTAGAGACATATCTACAAGGTTGGCAATAGATTGGACACGAAAAGCAAGTTTTATATGTACATGCGGAGACTGAGAGCAACATAAGGATAACGAAATCAAGATGATGGACTCATATTCTCCTATCAAGGAAGACGTACCTTTAGAGAGCAAAATGACATGCAGAGATTATCCAGCCTTCCTGAGAAAATAAATTCTTTTGCTGCACCACCAAGAATGCTCGGCTGAGTGTCACATGCTTGCAGCTCAAAATCGCATATCTCATCAGGTTTACAACCCAATGCGTTTGCAATGATCTAAGAGATTAAAAGAAAAGAGGACTACTTGATTACAAAACCAAAACAAGATCTAAAATTCAAGATGAAAACCATAAGTTAATGTTCCAACTGGACCTCCATTAGAAGTGGATGATGCTTAGATTTTGAACTAGTTTCAGTACACTTCTTTCCATCATCCTGTTCACCACCTTCTGCTGGAACTTTATTGAGCTCCGCCTTCAAATATATATATCACAGAGTATAAATAAAACGCAAAGGACGGACCAAAAGTTAAGGGATTCACATAGAAGGGTTACATCAAGTGGTTAATATGCAAACAAAGGCTTTAGAATGCTGAAGGAAAGAAAATTTAAACAGAGGAATAAAGAAAGAAGTAATCAAATTGTCTCATTTTAAAAAGGTTATTTGTTCTGAGCAACATAGCAAGTATCGAAAGAGCACCTTGATAGCTGTTGCCAGTACTGGAACGAGGTGTGTCTGAGTGTTTGGCTTAAAACCTTCACTGTTCACATTCCTGTCCACAAGGCAAACGAAACAGACTTACTTACATCAAGTAAGTGAGAAATATATAGTATGCAAACTAAATAAAAAGAAAGGTACTCCATGTTACCTGTCCAAGTGAATGGCCAAGGTAGGAATCCTCATGATAGGATCCTCAATCCTGACAAGACGATGAGAATATGAGACAGAACCTGCCTTGTCTTCTTTTAAAATAACACGTCCGGCAACAGTCAAGTCACGATCGAACCAGGTGTACCAAAGGCCACCTCCATAAGTTTGAACACCAACCTCCAAGTATCCACCTTTAGTTATCTGTCAACACCAACCAAACTTAAGTCAAAAGATGTGAAAATGGCAATTGACAAAAAAGGGGTTCCAAATCCAAAGTCAGCACCTTTGAAACAGGCTTGAGTTTGAGGCAAGGGCTATCAGTGTGTGCTCCTATTATATGGAATCCGTTTCCAGCTACGTATCTGCTCACAAAGTTAAAAACTTTATAAATGGATCTCACAATCATTAGTTCAGTTACAATAGAAGAAAGGATCTTACTTTTTGCCAATAGCAAAAGCAACAATGGTGGAGTAGTTTCTTGTGAAGAAATACTTTTTTCCGGCTTCTAATTTCCAGTCATCTCTCTCGGAAATCTGCTCATAGCCAGCGTTTCGTAGGCGCCTCTTTGACTCATCTACAATAGTTATTAGATCAGTAATCACAAGTAAACGCTACGGAATGATTAGGAGACAGACGAAACGAAGGGCTAATCGGTGAGGGTTGGGAGAGATTTACCGACGGCGTGAAAAGCGGTGGGAGAAGCGTTGAGAAAGGAGAGGAAATCGGAGACGAGGGAGCTGGTATTCGCCATGGTTTGGATCTGTGATGTCACTCACTGTTAATCTAAAAGAGACTCTCTTCAATACCAAGAGGCTTCTTTTTTTTTTTTTTGAACAACTCTTCAATACCAAGAGGCTTATATGTATTTACTAGAGTTTGACCCGCGCGCCCGCGCGGGTGTTTGTTCTACAATTATATAGATCAATATTTTTGATAGTTTTTGATAGTATATTGTTTGTACATTTTCAGGTTTTACATATTGTAGTATTTATACACAAACACTTGTTATTTATATGAAGTAATTTTATTAATGGTATCTTTGGGATCGTTGAATCAATTGTTTATATATATATGTATGGGTCTGATTAGTGATGACTGTAGTTTTAAAGTTTTTACTGTAAAAAAAATTATACTCTTCCGTTTCATAATATTTGTTTTTCTATACTTATTTTTTGTCACAAATTAAGTATTGTTTTAGAGTTTTGAGGCAAAATTTATTAGTTTTATATAATATTCTATTTTTCTATTGGTTGAAAAGTGGTTAGGTCTATAGTTAATTGTGTTTTTATCTTGAAAATATGTAAAATTAAATGTTTTCTTTATCTGTGTGCAAAAACCTAGAATGACAACTAAAGTGAAACGGAGGGAGTAGATTTTTTGCTATAATTTTAGATTTTATTGTTATAGATTTTATGGAAAACTCAAAAAAAATACTTTGAATATTTGGCTTTAAGAAACACTATAACTGTAGGTTATTCAGAAGCCGTGATTTAAAAAACATTAAAACTTGATTGCTGTGAATTTGGTGTTTTAAAAATACATGATGCCCTCTAGAGTACCTACAACCATTATCGATCACATCCTATATATTTTTCTTGGATTAATAGTTATATAAAGTGAAAATAAAATTACATATTTAAAAAGTCATGTTTATTTAATATAAATTAGTGCACACATAAATTATTTCTATAACACCAACTCGAACAACTTATCTCTAAATGCTTAATGTGGAACATATAGCTAAAGAAAGATTATAAGTAATCTTAAAGTAATTTTCTTCTTCAAAATAATCAGTAGTTTTATATAATATATGGATTTAGGTTATTGTGGCTCGGAATTAGGATCTAAGATGAGATTTTGATCTAGAAATGTTTAAATATTTGTATAGAGTTAATAGATATATTCAAATGGTAATTATGAATAGAAAATAGGAATATGGACCACCTAATATGTTATATATAAATCCATGTTTGGAATTATATTAGTATATTTGGCACAGCCTACATAACTATACAACGAAACCTCTATAAATTAATAATGTTGAGATTATACCAAAACTATAATTTTTTTATTAATTTCTAAATATTATTAATTTATCGATATACTAATTCAATGAAAAACTCAATTTGAAACTATAAATTATATTATTTTATAGAAATTTTTAGTATATATTAATTTATAAAGTATTAATTTAAAAAGTTATATATGTAAATCAAGGGGCCATATATATACGTATACAAAATGGGCCATGGTTAAGATAAAATAATTGTAATTAAAAAGAACCAATATGAGAGGAAATATTAGCTTAGGCCCAAATAAATGTACGAAGTCACCCTAAAAATTTCACATTTTCACTTCATCTCTTTGACCCTATTAACTGTTCTCATCAACGTCTCATTAACAAAAGCATAGAAACAAACCAGAAAATTTCATTGTTCGTTTCTTACCTTAAAAACGACCTTTGGATGATCCACTTGATGAATAGAGGTTAGAATTTTTTTTGCTTTTTCCTGTAGTTGATCGGATTTTGTTGTTCAGATCAGTTGATTTAGTGTGCTTATATTTATTGATTCACTATGCATCAGCGTTGTAGATCCGCCAGCATTTATCAGTGCATTTATCAGTTTTTGGTAATTAAAAAGCTAAGAAGACGTATTATGGGGAAGCAGACCATCTGAGACTTCTGAGTGGAATTTTATGTTGAGGATCTGTTTAAATACGACACTTATAAATGTTTGCACCTAGTGTAGCAGACTTAGAAACTACGAACAAAGTATGTACCTTATTTATTCTACCCCCAAAATGTTCTATTTAGTAAACACACTTTCTATTAGTATAAAATCACATATATATATATAATGTTTTTTTCAGGCATGAATCATCTCTAATCAGACTGACTGATAAAATAATATAACAGATGGAGATAAAATCGAGATAGACATAGAGAGCGAGAAGAACAAAGAGATGATAAGCAACTTTAGTTTATCAAAATAAAAATGATAAGAAGTGGTAGATAGAATAAAGAGAAGGAACACTATTTAGTTCTGAGAGAGAAACAGGTACAGGTTAGTTTAGAAAAATTATGCCCGATGATTTTATTATAAGAATGATTCAATAATACTAAAATCTTGTGTTCTATCTGCTTCCTTGATTCCCTTCTTTCAGAGATCTTTAGAGCATCTCCAACCCCATTCCATAATTTACTGTAAAATAGAGTGAGAAATGGAGTGATGAATAAACAAAAAAGTGATTACTCCAAATATGGAGTAATGAGATTTTTGTTTCTTCATCACTCCATTCTCTACTCCATTTTGTAATAAAACATGGAGTGGGGTTGTAGATGCTCTTAAAAACACTGTTGTTTAGTCACGTTTCAGTTTTAAGTGTTCCTAGCTTTGTTTTTGTCGAATTATAGGGATCCCCAATTAGTGGCAATGCTATGTGTTTTTAAACCCTAAAAAATGTGTTGACTGCTTGGTTTTTATTTGATTTACGGTTGAACATGAGGCGCCAGGGTAAGAAAATTGAGAATGAAGCTGAATAGGAGAGGCAAAAGACCTGTAACTGCAATAAGTTACTTCATTAGTTTTAGATTAATTTTATAAGATTTTGTGTGAACCCAGAATCAATATAATTTACCGATTCATCAATATTAGGACCATTTTTAAGAGGCTTTCCTCCATAGGATGTGTTTCTTTTCCTCGAATGAAACAATTTAAGTTGAACTCGCCAGTTTGTTTTATAGGGTCCAACCTTCTACTAAAATAAAAAGTTGTTAAGCTAGACATGTCGACGGTGTTTTATTAATAAGATTGTGCTTGAACGCTATAGTTAGGAGGTGTAGTTATAATGTTTGGTCGAGGATTGGGGTTGTTAAAGAAATCTTAACCATAAAAGATTTAGAAATTGATTTTCACGTTTTAAAAGAGAATATACGTATCTTGAAAAGTTACCATAAAGATTTCAAATTAAATTACACATTTTAAAAGAGAATATACGTCTTTGAAAATTTAATAACTATTCCTTTAATTTCTCTAGTTAATAGATATTTGGTTAGTAAATATAACAGATAAGAAAATTAATTTACACTTTCTAAATAGAGAATATACGAATATTAAATAAAAATTTTACATTCCTTTCTATTTAATAGATAATTGCTCATGCACGGATATAAATATTTTTAAAGTAAATATATGATAATAATTGATTGCTATTTATTTTTTATTTTAAATTAATTTATAACTTCTATGCATCATTTATATTAATAATATTATATTACTTTAACTATACTATAATTTTATATATGTTATATCTAGTCAATTTTGTTCTTTTTACGGCTGATTTAATTATCATTTAGATAAATTGGATTGCATCTATGAACTTAAATGTAATATTTTTAAAATATATTAATATTTAATTAATTACTTATTTTCATATAGTGGGTGTTGTCTTAGATATGTAAATATAATTTAGAAAAATTAACTAAAGTGTATGATTCCAAAATACGTAAATTAATATAACAATAATATACTAAAGTCTTATGCATATATATAAATTTTACAAAAGAACTAAAAGTGTAAGAGTTGGTTATTATTTATTTTCATTTGTTAATATGTTTTGAATTATCCTATGATCAATAGAAGGTTACATGCATAAGTAGTTGATACATTTTTGGAAGTTCATGAACATATATCAATATTTATAATAATTAAAATATTTATAAATTCTAAATAATTTTATGCTTTAGATTTGTTGAATGAAAAATGAAATTTATTTTAAATGATTTTAAAATTGGGAATTCATATTTGCTTTGGTATCTTGATTATCATTATATTTAGTTTCACAAACATAAAATTTAAAATAAAATCTATTATTAAGAAATTTTTTTTTTTAATAATGATAAAATATCATATATCTAGCTCATTAAACTAATTGTTAATTATTCGATCAAGCGATGTTTATTGTTAAATTTATTTTTAGTTTTTAATATCTCTTAAAAATAAGCATTACACAAAATTGTTATTGTATTTGAAAACAAAATTATATAAATAAAATATAATTTATAGATAATTTTCTGTAAATGAAAGATATTATAGCCAACTAAATATATGAAAAATAAATAAAAAATCAATAATACTAATTATAAATTATTTTTATTACTCTAAAAGTATATTTTATGTTATTTAATTTGTTTTTAAATGTATTATTACTATTTTGTGAACTTTCCTTTTTTATGAAATCATAATATATACATATATTTTCGTTTTTAAATTTGTTATATGACTTTATAAAAAATTTCCCTTTTTATTACATATATTTTTGGAAATTTTTGAAAAGGAAACTAAACAAAAAAAATTAATAATATTATTTTTTAATTATTTTTAATTCATTAAGGGTATCAGTGTAATCAACCATCATGAGAATGAATGTGAGATCGACACATAGGAAACTGACTTCTCAAATAATATTATAGAGATCATATTTGGTTAGCTGAGATAAAATATTTAGGTAGTTACTATAAAATAACTCAAACAATTAGAATGTTGTTAAAAAGGAATATACGTTTGGGAATCTTCAAATTTACTGTACAAGTTTGTTAATTTTAAAAAGATATTATTTTTATTTACATTGTAGAGTAATTAATATGAAGTTTTCAATATGTTTCATTTAAAAGATTGAAATAAATTTTGAGATAGTGTTAGTAAGATTACTATTATTTGATTAATTTTATATCTAATAAAAGAGGAATTG